CAAACCTGCTGCAGAGCGAATAAGAAAACAGGCGCTGCTTACTCTTTATATATGTGCACATGGATGTATATATAAATATGTTTATATGTATATATTTGTTTATAGGCTGGCGATTAGGTGGCCCAATGGGAGAGTGTTCTGAGACATTATGGAACTCAAAATTGTTAGTTGTTTGTGTCTCCATTTACATGTGCATACCCTTCCACAGACACGACAAAGTAAAGTACATGTGCAGGGACTCGGTTCAGGGACTTGGTTAAACATTGACCATTTAGCTTTTCTATGATCCTGCAGTTGTAAATCTCACGAACTCATCACCACTCCCGCTAAAGATGCAATTTTCATGGTCAACATTGTCGTTCTCCTTTCCTTTAGAAGCCATATGGCTTTTGTATTGCTTTGTTGCCTTGTTGTGTTAAATCCATTCTGGCAGTAGTTTAGACTTCACTACTCTCTATCAAGGGGTGCTTAAAATAGGTGGCCAATAATCATCATCATTAAAACAACTGTAAAATCTGGATCCCTTGTTTACTCCATCGTTCTGTTCAAAAATGCAACGTTGGTCCCAGCAGAGTTACCTAAAATTTCAACAGCCCCACCCAAATAAGAAGCACTATCAACAGTCAGTTCATTTTTTCCATTACAAGCACTCTTGATTGTCAAATAACCTTCAGTATTGCTAATCCTGACACCGGTATCGGCAAAGTAATTGAGCTGATACATTGAACAGTACTGATAGTATTTTCAAGAAACGGATTTTGAATGTGGCAAATACAATCGGAATATCACCAGGTGACACATATGCAAATAGTATTCGGGATAGGTAACGGGCAACTGATACAATCCTTAATGGTACTCACAGTGACAATGTCAGTCTTCGAGTTAAATTCATGAGATCAATACATGCTACATCAGTATTAGATTTTGTATCAGGAATAGGCTTTTCAGGTGGCTTGAACTCAGACATTATAAATACAATTACCGATGCCAACATGCAAACACACAAGAGCGGTGCAGAGTACGTTCAATTAACTACTGATGACGGGGTAAAGTTAGATAAGTAAACAGATAACTGCGCGTGGTTTAGGCTTGACTGTTTTTCATAGTGTTGATTAGCCAATGGTAGACAAATAGATGCATTAGCGCTTGGTGGTGCTGATCATTTGATTTGAAGCCACCTTCACACTGTAACTCCTGCTGCATTTCCAAAATTGAGTTGACATAACAATAGCTCATGTGTTCGTTAGCATTGTGTATCCATGTAGTCTCAGCAAGAAGGTTCAGTTTGTTGCATTAAATGGCTAGAGCATCTACACTTGAATCAACAGTTGCATTTGCAGTGAATTAGGGATTACTATGAGCTTGTGTACACACATTTGCACCGTAAATAGGCTTTCAAGCCTGTACTGGACTGGTCTCTACGAACGTTTATCTAGGTATAGGTAGTAACTGTTTCACTTCTACTAAGCTGTTAATGCCGTGTCAACTTTTGCTTTAAAATAGGTAGTTTCTTGGTTGGCTCTTAGAATTGGTCCAACTTTGTCAAGTGCATAGATCCAATAGATCCAGCTTCCTTACAAAGCCCTTGGAAGACAGTCGACATTGATAAGAGGAGGACAAAATGAGATGGCGCGTTATGGGATTGAAATTGGAATGCTGCAGATGATTAGTCATATCAGAAGGCATTGTTTATAAACTACTGCTTTGCACATGTATCCCGAACAAACCAGACACATGTTTTCCAAAGTAGTCCCAACATATATGAGTCTCCAACAAACAAACCAACTGTCCAAACCTTCGTAGGACGAGCATAGTTTCCAAGTCATTGTTTTCAGTTTTAGGACTGGACATAGTACAAATCATTGCCTGTTTTTGCGTTTGGGATTCTAGACGTAGTCCTGAGATAGTCCTGAGATCATGCATGTTGCGTGCAGATGGTTCTGAGATCATTGTTTATGCAAATTGTGCCCTGAGGGCCCCCCTAATCAGCGAGCGCCCACATATATATATATATACGGGCATATATATATATATATTTTGTCACTGCTTGCAGGTTTTTGATGTTCGTAGCCTCTTGACAAATCTCGCGGCCGTGCTTTTGTCCTCAAGACTCCCCTTGCTTGACTGGGTTCCCCTTCAGCTGGGCGCATTCGTTGGCGCTTTCCTGAGCTGGGTGGCGATTCGAGAACCTGCACCTCGTGATCCACTCCCGTGCCACTGCCAGTGCGGGTGTTCCCTGGAACCCGCCTTGGATTGTCTTTGGAGGAGTGATCATTGTTCTTTTGTTTTTGAATCTTCTAGTTGTTTTGCGAATCACCCTCCGACAGAACGAGAAGGGGGAGCTGGGAGTGGGAGTAGCTGTAAAAGGTAAGGCTGGAAAAGGTTGGTACGGTGCCTCATCGGGATTGCAGATCCTGGACCGTGATTGATGGTTATCAACATTGGTGACTTATGCTATGTTGAGTATGCTAGATTTCCTGGAGTAGTTCACACTAGGCTGGCTCTTGCACCGGTTCAGGGAGACACGTGGATGATTGCAACGCTGGATCTGGATCTTTATCCTGAAGACCTTTTTGCAGGGAACCCGGATTTTGCCTGGTTCTTCCACACGGCAAACGGTGCCTTTCCAAGAGGGGTGCCGCGAGGTGACATCTATGCTTTCACCCCTATGTCGGCCCAGGCCTATGCTCGATTGTTGGCGCAAGGTCAAAGATTGGCAGACGCCTAAAAGTTGAGGCTGGGCATTGGGCCTGCCGTAGCGGCTCCACCGGCGGCCGCTGGAGGGGCAGTGGCTCCCCCGGCCCCTGGACAAGGTGGCGGTGATGGGGTTGAGGAAGTGTGGATCATTGCAGAGCATGTTGAAGGACACAAAGTTGGTGAAGAAGTCACGGTACCGGCTGGGGCTCCACAGGATGCAAGCAATGCATTGATTGATACATGTTACAGACTCCTCGGGTAAGGATTGCGTTGTCCGTGCAGTCAAGTGTTCAAAAAGATGACCTTGGAGAAGTTTGCGAAGCTTTGATCAAAGGAGCCCGTGCCATGGAAGCAAAGCATGGGGAGGATCAGATCTCCGCAGACGATGTTCGAACTCTCAGCATCAAGTACGGGCCAAATGGAGAGAGGTCTAGGACTTTTCGAGAAAGTGTTCAAGAGATGCAGCAATGCCACTTCGACGAGTTTCCGTTGGAGCCTCGCACTTGCTTGGAATACCTCCGTGCGGTCGCTGAGATCGCAGAGAGTTGCTATGGTCAGCACTTGGCATGGGCGCAACAGTCCAAAATCCCAGAGGGGGACAGAGCCATTTTTGAGGACGAAGTGCTGAGCAAAGTTTTGGACGCAGCAATCAAGTTCGATGGTTACAATGTTAGCAACAGCCTGGCATTTGAGCTGATTGTGAGACGCAAACAATTGCTTTGTGAGGCACACGTCGGGAACCCATCTCAGCCTTCGTACGAAGCCTCGGATTACTTTATGGGCACACGTTACAGACCAGGGGGAGGCATCGTGGTTCCCTCCTTGACGGAGCACGTGTCCAAACGTATGCGTGAGGAGAGCCAAGTCTAGAAGGAGAAGAGGAAGCTACGCGAGGCGAAGGGAGGTGGAAAGAACAAGGGTGGAAGAAAGGTTGATGGTAACCCCCCCAAGACAGATGCGGGGGGGGGGGCAAGAAGTAGAGAAAGTTCTTTGGCCGGGGGGTGCAGGGGTCGCCGGCTTTTTGAAGATCATCCCCTGCTTACGGCCGGTGTTAGGCCGGTTCTTTGGTGGGCGCCCGAAAGTCGTTTTCGGCGCCCTCAAAACCAAAGTTTCGGGCGCCGTCCAAAGGTGAGTGGTGCTAGCTATGGTGGAGAGAGAACGAGATGTTTTCCCCTTGCCAATTCTGCAATTGGAGAGTTTTTCCCAGAAGAGCCGCCTATCTCGTGTTGCGCAGAGGAGATTTGAGAGGCGACGACGCATAAAGTTGCAAGAAAAGAACGCAATTCAGGCCTTGAATTCATTTTACAGTGGACATGATTGCCCGTATGTACAGAGTATTGGAACCTTGGAGGAGCTTGACACAGGACGAAAGGATGTCCTTTGGCTGATATTGAAACGAGTGCAATTGGCCGGAGCTTGAACGGGGGGTGCAAGCCATGCAGGAGCCATTCGTGCGCTCCGTGTAGCCAGCAGTCCCTAGTGGGGGCGATACGTCGGGCGTGGGCGATGTTGTGAGCATGAAGCTGGAACGGCTATCGTTGCCCGAGATGGGCAATCGAGGAGTTCTTGTGGAAGAGGTGCTATCCGGTGAAGCAGGTAAGATGTTGAGAGACCCGGAAACTATGATGGCCGTGGCTGTGTGAAGAATCCAGCCAGATCAAGACATACAATGACCCGGCGCTGAAGAGCAACAGATTTTTTGGGAGTTTCCTGAGGAAGTTGCATAGGGCTGGGATATTGGCCTTCACGACATCTGTTCGAGGACGAGTAGGATGTTTTTGTGTGAGCA